AAAAAAAGAAAAACAAGATCTATTTTTAGACGAGTAAAAAAGGAAAGACAGAAAAACCTTGTTTTCTTCTTCGCCTTTTCTTTCTTTTTTAAAGATATTTATTTGTATTCAAACTTATTACCAATTTAATTAATCTTTTTGTTGTTGTTGTTGTTGTTATTTTTATTTTATATTTTATCTTGAATCCAAAAACTGCCTAATATCCACAGGAAAGCCATTAATACCTTAACACTAAAAAAGGTTTTAAAAACAGAAAAAACTTTTTAACTGTACAAAAAAAATAAGTACTTCTGTAAAATAAAAGAAAAAAAAAGGAGAGCCAGAATTCAATATATCTTATTAAATCTAAAAAGGATACGATTCAGATGACAGACCGTATTTTACAGGTGTGAAATTTCATATAACAGATCAAAAAATTTTCATTTTACAGTCAAACAATTTTTTTGAGGACAATAACTGTACCAAATATTAATTGAATTTTACGCCGTATCCATGCCGACAAATAGGTATTCTTATTTTGCATCAAAAAAGAAAAAATTATTGCAAAATGAAAACAAAAGCAGAATAAAGTCATATTTTGATAAAAGAGCTTACAGCTACTGGTTGATTTTTCCTTAAAAATATCAGTAGAAAGCAAAAAAAAAAATACTTTTTTTTTTCCATCTACAGAGCTCAACATAGTCAAATGACCAAAACAAGCTCAAGAAAACTTTATTTTGGAGAACCATGAAAAAATCATTAAATTTGTGCAAAATTTTCAACAAAATTTTGAAAAAAAAAAAGTTAGTTTTTTTATCATATCAAGCATTAAAAGCTAAAGCATTCAAAAAACAAAGCAGAAATGCTATCAGAGCATTAAATTTAGCAATTTCTGGTTTACCACTGTTGTTTTCCACTAACAAATAGTGATACCAGTTATCGTATTTTGAAACAAACTTTTTTGCAAATATTGAGAAAAATAAATAAGCAAATAAATGAAGAATGGAAATTGTCGTTTTTTTTCTTCTTTCTTTTTTCTATTTTACAAAGTCATTTACATAAAAACTTCAAAAAAAAAAAAAAAAAAAAAAAAAAAAAAA